GCGGGGAAGTCCCGGGGAGGACAGGCAGGAGCAGGGGGGCAGGGTGCTGCGGTGTGTCCCCTGACGGGCTGGCTGGGTGAAGGCAGGGAGGCTGCTGGTCGGTCGGTCAGGATGTGGTGATGCTGACAAAGGCCAGAGGCCTGGAAACTGCTGCACGGTCAGTGAGATCAGCCCCGGCCAGCGCAGGGCAGGGCCCAGGCCGGGAGCTGAGCTGGCTCTCCTGCCTGACCCCTCCGGTCAGTCACCCGGAGGAAGGGGCGGCCTCAACGGCCCCCAGGACGCAGAGCCCAGAAACCGGAGCCGTGGGGGCCACTGACATCCGGGAAGTGAGTTCAGACAAGGACAAGAAGGAAAAGGCTGCCTGTGCCCAGGCGGAGGCACGCCCAGCAGATTCCCACCCCCCTCCCCCCTCCCCCAGAACCACCCAGAGCCTCGCCCTCCCTCATCCCCTCTCTCCCCTCCCCCCAGCACCACCCAGAGCCTCGCCCTCCCCCCTCCCCCCTCCCCCAGCACCACCCAGAGCCTCACCCTCCCCCTGCCCCCCTCCCCCCTCCCCCAGCACCACCCAGAGCCTCGCCCTCCCCCGCCCCCCTCCCCCAGCACCACTCAGAGCCTCCCCCTCCCCCTGCCCCCTCCCCCTCCCCCAGCACCACCCAGAGCCTCGCCGTCCCTCCTCCCCCCTCCCTCAGCACCACCCAGAGCCTCGCCCTCCCCCTCCCCCTCCCCCCTCCCCCAGCACCACCCAGAGCCTCGCCCTCCCCCGCCCCCCTCCCCCCAGCCAGAGGGAACCAGCCCAGCCTCTGATGTGGAGTTAGAGGCCTGGGGGTGAGGGGGAGCAGGGAGGACTCACAGTGGCCTCCATGATTTAGGAGAAAGCGACCCTGGGCAGGACCGAAGGGGCACACACCTGGTTAGAGAGTGAGAATGGGACCCTGGGGCAGGCCAGAGAAATGGGGGTTTGCCTGAAGCCGTGAAGGGAAGCACAGGAGGCCAGTTGTTTGCAGTTTCCAGAGCACAGAACGGCCCTGCCCGGCAGGCGGGGCTCAGTGGCTGAGCTTGCCCTGTGAACGAGGAGGTCGCAGTGCGATCCTGGCCAGGAGACATGGCTGGGTTTCGGCTTGACCCCCGTGTGGGGTGTGCAGGAGACAGATTCCCTCATCATTGACGTTTCTCTCCCCCTTCCTCTCTGACGTCCATGGGAATACATGGTTACAAAGGGGCTCTTTGTGGGGGGCGGGCAGTGAGTCCCATCACAGCAGACACACCGAAGGACGAGGTGGACGGCCCATGGCAGGTGCCACCGATGCGGACAGACCGGGGCGGGGAGAGCCGGCCTTTCTATCTCTTCTGACCTGGGACCCCCAGGAGCCCCTCAGCCCCCGAGACCTTCCTTCCTCAGGGTTCCAGTGGCTCCTCTGGCCAGAGGAGGCCCCGGGAGCAGGCTGCCGAGGCAGGGCCACTGCCTGTGACGTGAGGGGAGCCCCCGGAAGAGGCGTGGACCCCACGTGACTGCGGGCTGGGAGGGTGGTGAGGTTCAGTCTCCCCTAGAGGAGAGGAGAGAAAGGTTTCTCAGAACCGTAACCGGGGCCATGGCGTGTTTGTCTCCCCGCACGCGGTGCTGTGCGGAGGAGGAGGGGCGGTGGGCTGCGTCACGTCGGAAGGAGGCCCCCTCGCTGGCGCGGGGTCAGGCGCTGCCCGGGACCCGGCCCGGGGGAAGCTGCCCCCACCCCTCCCCCGCGGGTCCCCCGCTGAGCGCACGTCCCTGGGTAAGAAAGGAGCGCCTGTTGGCTGTGCGCGCCCGGAATAGCACACAGGAAGCCGAGCTGCCGAGGTCGCTGCTTCCGGCAGGAAGGGACCACGGCCATCCATCTGCAGCTGGAGCGGCAGCCCTGGCCTCTGACCCCGCCTGGACCGAACAATCCAGGGGCCCCCCTTCCTGCGGACGGGCAGGCAGAGTCCCGCCCGAGGCCGGCCGCAGGGCCAGGCTCGCCTTCTGCCTGTGGCGGTGCCTCCCCGGAGGAGGCAGGCGTCCGGATGGAACGGAGGGGGCGAATTGGAAGCGGAGACATCGAGGCCGTAGCTAGGAGTTCCTGTCCTGTCGCTCTTTCCCCTCCCTGCTCCGGCGGTTCGGTTTCCTTTGGTCAAACACAGCCCAGGACCGTCTTGGGACAGAGTGAGAGCTCCTTGGAGAGAACTTTGCAACTTCCAGGTTAAAAAAAAAAAGGACTTGTGCAGCCAAGAGCAATGGCAAATATTAGAAAAGAAACGGATGAAGGCCGGCCCAGGGCGGCACTGTGCGCTCCGCTATGCGGCGCCTGTAACCAGCAGCAATGATGCGGGCGGCCCGGAGCCGCACTCACCTCACAGCAGGCCTGCCCGCTGGCCCCGCAGGAAACCTTTCTACTTCTCCGTCCTGGGGTTTCTGAAGCTGGGAAAGGAGAGTGTCAGAACCACCCGCGTCCTTGCTAAAACTTCCAAGAAGGACCTGCAGTGCCAGTGCCCGGGTGTGTGTGTATGTGTGTGTGTGTGTGTGTGTGTGTGTGTGTGTGTGTGTGTGTGTGTGTGTGTGTGAATGTGTGTGTGAGTGTGTGTTTGTGTGTGTGTGCTTGTGTGTTTGTGTGTGTGTGAGTGTGTGTGTGTGTTTGTGTGTGTATGTGTATGTGTGTTTGTGTGTGTGAGTGTGAATGTGTGTGTGTGAGTGTGTGTTTGTGTGTGTGTTTGTGTGTGTGTGTGTTTGTGTGTGTGAGTGTGTGTATGTGTGTAGGTGTGTGTGTGTGTGTGTGTGTTTGTGTGTGTGTGTGTGTGTGTGTGTGTGTGTGTGTGTGTTGACTTCTTAACCAGCAGGTGGCCCGGGAAGCACTGCCTCTGCTCTCCGAGGCCCACCGGCTCCAGGAGGTCTATGTTTCTCGGGACCCGGGCTGACCCTACAGCTCGAAGCTAGAGCTACAGACACAGGCCGAGGGCAGGCATCCGGTGTGGCCCCAGGAAAGCAGCTGAGCCCTGTGCCGGCGGTGTCCGCATCCACCCCTCTCCTCGTCCACCCCTGGCGTTGGGATCGTCAGTGGAATCCTGCATGGAAGCACTTGAGCCATATACGCTGACTTGGTGGAGAGCACAACAAATAATGTCCCGGTTAACAACCAGGTTATGGGTAAACAGGTTAGGTAACCAGCTCGGATGGCTCAACAGCCGTGGTTCCTCAGTCTGTCCTTGGAAGGCAAGAGGCATTTCTCAGGGTTCGCTTTCCAGGCCCTACCTCCGAGTTGCCGATGGCTGCTGGAGCAAGTGGGTGAACGAAGAGAGGACCCCGCAGAGCGGGCTGGACTCCCCTGCCGTCTCAGGTGGAGTGTCCAGCTGCCTGGCCTTGCGAGGGGGACTCTTGGACCAGTTCTGATGGCTTTAAAAATAATATATATTTTTTATTTTTTAAATATATTTTTATTGATTTCAGAGAGGAGGGACAGGGAGAGAGAGATAGAAACATCAATAATGAGAGAGAATCATGGGTCGGCTGCCTCCTGCACACCCTCTTCTGGCGATGGAGCCTGCAACCTGGGCATGTGCGCTGACCGGGAATCGAACCATGACCTCCTAGTCCCGTGGTCGGCAAACTGAGGCTCTCGAGCCACATGCGGCTCTTTGGCCCCTTGAGTGTGGCTCTTCCACAAAATACCACGGCCTGGGCGAGTCTATTTTGAAGAAGTGGCATTGGAAGAAGTTTAAGTTTAAAAAATGTGGCTCTCCAAAGAAATTTTAATCGTTGTGCTGTTGATATTTGGCTCTGTGGACTGATGAGTTTGCCGACCACTGCCCTAATTCATAGGTCAAGCTCAGCCACTGAACCTTGAGGGCTGGGCGGTGGCTTTTTTAAAAGGCTTGCTCTTTGTTGGGGGGGGGGGGATTGCCTTGGGAACACGGGGGACATTCGGGGGTGGGGAGGAGGTGGGGGAACAGTTCCCTTCCGGGAGGGAGAGGTGCTGAGAAGGAATGTCCTCACATGTCGGCCACCTGCCTCTGAGAGCGCGGCGCGGGGCCCGGCAGGCTGGCCCAGGTGGTTCTCCCCGCCGGCTCCACAGCGGGATCACCTGCTCTAAGGATCTTCTCCGCGGGACTCTCAGACCCCCGAGGAGAGTCTGAGGGTGATGATCTGGGTGGGGCGGGGTGGGGAGGGGGCAGCATTAGCTCCTTAACTCTCTGGGTCTAAGCTAAGGTGACCAGACGTCCCGATTTTCAACAATTGGTCCTGCGTCCTGAGGCGTTTTTAAAAAACAGTTAAATTGTTAAGAATTGGGACTGTCCCGCCAAAAGTGGGATGTCTGGTCACCTCAGTCTAAGAAGTCACAAGGTGGGGAACGGGCAGAGTCCACAGGCGGGTGACAGCGTCCCGGACACCCAGCTGCGTTAGTCTGAGGCCCGCTTCGCTGCTGCTCTCCGGGGACCCCGGGGCCACGTCCCCTGACCCTAAGCCAGGCTCACTGCTGGGAGAGGAGGAGACCACCAAGGACTGGGGTGGGAAGGCAAGGCCCTCCGCTCACTGGTGTTTCCCAAACGCCCCGTGCTCCCCAGAGAGTCTCATTCCAAAGGCGAGAGTGAGCCCAGGACCTGTCTTTTTTTTTTTTTAATAACTTTTTTTTATTGATTATGATATCACATAATTTGTCTTCACCTCCCCATTCCCATCCCAAACCCCTCCCCATATATGCCCCACCCCCCTGTTGTCCATGGCCACTGGCCAGGCCCATATGCATGCACACAAGTCCTTTGGTTGATCTCTGGGACCTGTCTTTTTAAGCCAAACCCAGATCCTTTCTCAGAATTGGGGAAGTCTTTTCTGGGCCCAGGCCATAGACAAGAAACCAGAGTCCCTGGTACCGAAGTCCAATCTGCGGCCACACCTCCAACCCTGTGCCCGCCTGCACGTCCAGGGTGAGTGCTCAGGCCCCAGAGGTGCACCTGGGGGCTCCGGGGCCAGCCGGGGACCCCCGCCGGCTGGAGGCCGCCTCTCAGAGCCGCTACCTGGGTCCCGCGAGCTCCCTGCGAGCCCAGCCGGCTGCAGCGAGCCGCCGAGTCATCCTTTCCAGCCCGGCTGGAAAAGCTGGACCGGCCGCCGCCGCGTGTGCTTTCCTGGCAGCCGGCGCGGGCCGCGGCCACATCATCCCGGGGCGGGGATGCGCGCTCGGGCCACGTCTGTGCCGCCGGCAGGGCCGCCCGGGGTGGGCGAGCGGCTGGGGGCGGGACCTGGCCGGGACCCCGCGCGGGCTCTAGGACCCGCGGGACGCCGGCGGCGGCGGGGAGACAGATTTGCTCCGTGGGGACGGGACGGGCCGCCGGCCGCGGGTCCGGGTCCGTCTCTCCGGCTCCGCGCTCGCTCAGGACCTCCGCGGGCCGCGCCAGCCGCTCTGCGGAAAGTTTGTGAATGTGAAAGCCTGGCCCGGTCCGGAGCCGACTCCCCCGATCCCCCGGAGGGAACCCCGGGCCCGCCGCCCGGCGCGCTCGCCGCCCGCGTGGCATGGTGCGCGCCCGCCGCGGGGCACGGGGAGCCGCTGCCGGAGGCGGAGACCATGGCCGCGCGCCCCCCGCCCGCGCCCCCCGCCCGCGCCCTGCTGCTCGGCCTGGCCGCCGCCCTGCTGGCGCCCCGCGCCGCCGCCCGAGGTGAGTCCCGCCGGCCGCCCGGTCCGGGTCGGTCCCGCCCTCCTCTCCCTCCGGCCGCCTAGGTCCTGGGCACCTCGCGGGCACTGGGGGTGGCGGCGCCGGGGAGCGGGGCTGCCCGGCCAGGAGCGCACCGGGGCGCACGGCGGAGGCCCCGGGGCTCCGGCTACCGGCACGGAAGGGACCCCCACCCGCAAGGCCACCCCCACCCGCCCGCCACCGCCAGGTGCCAGTTCCCGGAGCGGGAGGGGGAGTTGGCTGCGGCCCCAGCACGCAGCCCAGAGGCTCCGCAGGGCTTGCCGTCCCCTCCCTCCCCGAGGTCTGTGTCTTGACAGTTAGGTCCACGTGTCTCCCGGAGGGTGCCCCGGGGCCAGCTCACCCTGTCCCTGGGGGACGCCCCGACGCCAGGCCCTGGGCAGACTCTGCACCAGGCTCCCTCCCCCGGCCTCTCCCTTCTCTTAAAACGGACTTGTTTTCTGTGGTTTTCTCTTCCTCTCCGTTCATCCCGGGGCGCTCCCAGCGGTCCGGGGTGGCCAACCGTGAGCAGAGTTTTCTCTGCCGGGGGTGGGTTCCCGGGCGGCGGGGGAGCCCTGGAGCCAGGGCTGGCGTGGGAGCCACGTGTGGAGGCAGCAGCTGTGTGACAGCCGCACCCGGCTCCCCGGAGGGCACCTGTGGGCCCAGCAGGTGTCTTTGCACAATTCGGGGCTTCCCCGTCGCAGCGCCGCCTCTCCGCCGCTAGGGGCGCTGTGGGCCCGCCAGAGGATGGCTGGCTGTGGGGGGTGGGTGGCACCAGGAGGGCTCTGTGCACAGGCTGCTCCTCAGCCACTGGCTCCATCACACCCCGTCCCACCTTGTCCCACCTTCTGGTACGTCTTACTCTGCAGCCGCCGCCCTCCACGCCCACCGCACCCCTGTGATGTGGCAAAACCCCAGCTCGCCCCAAAATCCACGGGCAAGCCAGAGCCCGGGAGGAGGGATGGCCAGGCTGCGGGAAGCCAGGGAGAAGCCAGGAGACGGCCGGGCAGGGACCCTGCCGACGGATCAGACAGAGTTTTGAAAGACTTTTGTACAAACGAGTCCCTGTGAATGTTTCCTGAGAGAGAACTTTTTAAAAACGGAAACAGAATCCCAGAGTGGACTCGGCCCGCGCTCCGAACAAACAGAGCCGAGGCCACTGAGCGTGGGTGAGAGGTTTTAGACGAAAACCTGTCCTCAGTCAAGCAATCCTGGGAAGGCGTTTCGCGGAGGGAGGGGGCTGTGATGTTGTGACTGCAGCTTTGGGGGACTTTTCCTAAGGGGGGCGGGGGGGGCGGCAGAAAGCCGGCGGGTCGGGCTTCCTGCGATGGATGACCTGGGATTTTGCCGTTTCCTTACCCGCCTTCTCAGTGTCCCGTCCTAAGTCAACGGGCTCTCAATATGGAGTCTTCGATCCATCGAGGTTGTTCAAACACCCAAACGAATAAGGAAACATTTCTTCGTGTCGGCAAGAGAGAAGGAGGAACCCCTGTCTGTCAAAGACAGAGTCCAGCCTGGGGTGTGACCCCGAGCCCCAGAGCCTGCTGGGTGCCTGTCAGTGGCCGTCAGCCCCGACGGGTCCAAAACAGAGGCCTCGACCCCAAACCCTCTGCTTCTGATTCCCTCCTGCCCCAGGATGCCCAGCCCGGGAACGACACCTCAAACCTCTCCAGGTGCCTCATGGGAGCGCCCAGAGAGGACCCCGAAGCCGTCCCTTTCTCTCCATCAGCCACCAGCCTCCAGACACACTCCCGTCTCCCCTCTCTCCTTTCTGCGGAAGCTCTGGCCCCAGCATAGCAGCCCTCTCCGTCTGCTGCCCTCCCTGCCTGTCCTGCACCGCGTGCTCTTCCCTCCCACTGCCCGAGTCACCATCCTCAGCCATCAGCTGGACCACGCAGGCTTCCTGTTAACCCCAGTGCCTCTCCGTGGCTTCCTGTTAACCCCAGTGGCTCTCCGTGGCTTCCTGTTAACCCCAGTGGCTCTCCGTGGCTTCCTGTTTACCCCTGTGGCTCTCCGTGGCTTCCTGTTTACCCCTGTGGCTCTCCGTGGCTTCCTGTTAACCCCAGTGGCTCTCCGTGGCTTCCTGTTTACCCCTGTGGTTCTCCGTGGCTTCCTGTTTACCCCTGTGGCTCTCCGTGGCTTCCTGTTAACCCCAGTGGCTCTCTATGGCTTCCTGTTTAAAAACTCTCTCGTGGCTCTCTGTGGCTTCCTATTTACCCCCAGTGGCTCTCCGTGGCTTCCTGTTAACCCCAGTGGCTCTCCGTGGCTTCCTGTTTACCCCTATGGCTCTCCGTGGCTTCCTGTTAACCCCAGTGCCTCTCCGTGGCTTCCGTTACCCCCAGGCCTATCGTGCGCCTCTCCGTGGCTTCCTGTTACCCCCAGTGCCTCTCCGTGGCTTCCTGTTTACCCCCAGTGCCTCTCCGTGGCTTCCTGTTAACCCCAGTGGCTCTCCGTGGCTTCCTATTTACCCCCAGTGGCTCTCCGTGGCTTCCTGTTTAAAAACTCTCTCGTGGCTCTCCGTGGCTTCCTATTTACCCCCAGTGGCTCTCTGTGGCTTCCTGTTTAAAACTCTCTCATGGCTTTCCGTGGCTTCTTTTGGGGGGAAAAAAAACCCAAGCCTGTGGATGACCTAGTCTCTATCTTCCTCTTTGACCTTTTCCTTCCCATTCCGCTCACTCTGCCCAGCTGCACTGGCGTCTCTTCCTACCTGCCTTCCAAGAGAACATCACCATCCTTTTCAAAAGCAATCGTCACTGTTTGCACGGCGAGGGCTGCCAGCACTGCTCACAGCGGGCCACCCCTCGGTCTGTGATGATGGTATGGTGATGGTGAGGATGGTGGTGATCATAGTGATGGTGATGATGGTGATGATAGTGATGGTGATGGTGGTGATGGTGATGATGGTGATGGTGATGGTGCTGATGGTGATGGTGGTGGTGGTGGTGGTGATGATGGTGATGATGGTGATGGTGATGGTGCTGATGGTGATGGTGGTGGTGGTGGTGGTGGTGGTGGTGGTGATGGTGATGGTGATGGTGATGATGACTGGCACCTGGGGCCTGCATGCCTCCGGAAGTCAGTCATGCTTGAGCACCACACTCCTCACACACGTTTTCTTTCCCTCCCTGGTCGTTTGGCTCTTTTCCTCCCTTCCTTATAGAAACAAAAATTACATCCATTTTTCATGTTTTGAAACTTTCTCTTAAAGTTGTATAAATACTCCAAGTCATCATACACCTAATTAGATAGATGCCGCAGCTGTGGGAGCTGAGCATTTGTCAGGAATGTAGCTACAGCATCGGGGAGCGCATCCGCTCCTGGCGGGCATGACGCTGAAGGAACCCATCACCATGGCAGGAGAATCGTTTATTTGGAATCGGAGGGGTTCCTCTTTAGGCGGGACTGTCCCTGCAGCATCGTAATGACAGGCAGGTCTGAGGGGCATGTTCAGCTGTCACCTCCCTGCCGAATGGACAGCCTGCGGCCCCTGGCTGTGCGCCCACGAGGAGTCCTGTGAACCGCTGAGTGTGCGATCCTTAACCGTCAGCTCCCTGGACTGAGAGCGTGCCACTGACATACTCTAGACAGAATGCTTTAGGAAATGGTTTCTGTGCGTTTTTAGTAGCTGTTTCTTTTAACATTTTATTCAACCTGAAGTTTTTAGCCTGGCTGACGTGGCTCAGTGTTTGAGTGACAACCTGGGAACCAAGAGGTCATGGTTCGATTCCTGGTCAGGGCACATGCCCAGTGTGGGGCGTACAGAAGGCAGCGATCAGTGATCCTCTCTCATCATTGATGCTTCTCTCTCCTTCTCCCTCTCTCTGTCTCTGAAATAAAACAATGAGACAGAAACCACTGCAGTGTTCTTTCCAGCCGGTCACTGACACAAACTTCCCTGGGAGCGTGGGGCAGGGCTGTCCTGAGACCTTTGCACGCTCTGGCTCCTCCCACTCTCCTGGAAGGACCTTGCCCTTGGCCCTTCCACAGCCCTCTCCGCCTTCAAGGAGGGGCCAAGCCTCAGGGGTTGGACCTGCTCAGTGGCCGACGCTGGGCTGTCTCTAGGCCGCCCTATGGCGGGTACCAGATCCCAGCCTCGCCGCGACCAGCCCTCTGTGACCAAGACCACCGCCTGCAGAGAGTCACCACTGTAGCCAGGAGAGTGAGAGCTCATTGGGTGTTACACTGAGTGGCAATGGGGTTCAAACAAACTATTGTCCAGGGGAAATGTTCCCTCGGAACCCCACACTCTCCGACAGGCCTCCGTCCATCCTGCCTCGTCTTTCCTGTCAGTGTCTGTGTCATGCCAAGGCCACGGGAGATCTTGCTTCTAGGCAGCTGCGTGCACAGTGGGCATCTCGGGGGTAGCCCTGGACCTCCGTCTGCCTGTCCACCTGCTTCTGGAAGCTCTGGCCTCCCGGTCAGGTCAGGCGACCTGCCTGGACCTGTGGACAGACCTCCCACTCTGCCCAGCGGGCGAGGTGACCTCTGCCTGCAGCTGGGCCAGGAGAGCCCTGGGCTTGTGTTTTCTTTAATTGCCATTAAAGCGAGAGAGGGTGCACACTTCTCATTCCATTGATGGGCACGTGACCCTGAGTAGCATCTGAGAGCCTGGTTTTGCTTGTTTGTTTGTTTGTTTGTTTGTTTGTTTGTTTGTTTTTAAGATGTTTTCAGAGGGAAAGGGAGGTGGAGACGGAGAGAAACATCAATGGGGAGAGAGAACCATGGACCGGCTGCCTTCTTCATGCCCCCACTGGGATCAAGCCCTTAACCCCAGCATGTGCCTTGACCGGGAATCAAACTGTGACCTCCTGGTTCACAGGTCGATGCTCAACCACTGAGCCATGCTGGCCGGGCAAACTCATAGTATTTTAAAAGCACATTTTTCAGCTTGTGCGTATTTATTTTTAGAATACATTTCTCTATTGGTGGTTTACCATCAACCCACTGTAGAAGGAGCATGACAGTGGAGCCCAGATCCCAGCATGGAG